TTTTTCAAGGAGTATCTTCATAGAATTTGTAATTTAACATCTTTACAATATAAGTTGTTTTTTTACCCTTTTGTGTCAAAAAATTTCAAAAATGTTAAAAAATAACGAATGACAATTGTCACTTTAAAATATTATCCTTAGAAAGATCATATAAAATAACATAAAAAATTTGAATATAAATATTAAAAAAAAATTATTTAGAAAAAACCACCACTTTTAATATACTTAAAAAATAGATTATTTTACAAAAATTATAAAAGATTTCACCTAAAAGATTGTTTATTTATATAATAAAATTTACAAAAGAAAGATTTATTTATAAAGAAGATTTAAAATTCTTTTCAAATCAAAATATGTTTAAATATCTTTTTGAACTTCAAAAAATATTTTTTGCTTAAAATTTTAGACCTGAAAATCACTAATAAATTGTAACAAAAATAATATTACTTATTTAACTTTTAAATATATAATTAATTAAAATCAACACACCACAACTATTATTATTATTTCTAATTTTCCAATAATACATTTAATAATGACTTTTTTTATCAATAAAAGAGATAATTCTATAATCTTTTATAATTGACATTTTTTAAAAATTAATGTTATTTAATATATTTACATATATATCTAATTAATATATTACTATAGCAGCATATCATTTTTTTTATTAAAAAACATCAAATAAATAAATTTATTTTTATTTCATAATATAATAATATAAATAAAAAATCATATCATGTTTATTTGTTGATAATAATAATAAAATATTTATATTAAATATAAATAAAATAAATTATCTTACTAAAATAAATAAATAATAATTACGGAACGCTGTCGGACGATTAGCCGATGCAGAATTTTTGATTAATTTAGTTTTAGCCAATTTTTAGGCTTAGCCTAATTAGTTTGAGCCGATTTTTAAGCTAAGCCTAATTAGGTTTAGCCGATTTTTAATCAATCTACTTTTATAGAAATAATAAATTGTATTTTTTTTTATCCAGTTCTTCGATGTCCTTTTGACAATGATTTACATTATGTATTGAATGACTGATTTAAAAAAATAAATAATTAAGATATTCATAATTAATAGTTTAAAAAAATATATATCTCAGAGACCTGTTGACCCGGCACTAAGCCTAACTTGTGTACTTAGGGCGAGCCGTATTTTTATATTTTAAATATACCAGGCTCGGGTCGAGCCGTACCTTAAATTATTTTTTTTAAATATCCGGGTCGAACCGGGCCTAAAAATTTTTTCTAAAAAATACGAGGGACGGAAAGGTATATTTTAAAACTAAATTTAAAAAAAATCCGGGCCGGGCCATGTAAATGGTACCTCTGCAGGTCTGATATGTTTTTAATTCTGTGAATACGCAATACTGCCGACTAGTGTGGTTAATTAGCTGGTTTTACACGACCACGACTCTGGTTTTTGGTTGAAAAAATGAACCAAAACCAAAGCAACCAAATTGGTCGACCTGGTCGATCAAATCTATAGACCTGAGCACCGACCCAAGCATTGACCCGAGCACCGACCCGAGCACAAGCACAGACCCGAGCATCGACCCGAGCACCGACCCGAGCACAGACACGATACTCGACCCGAGCACCGACCCAAGCACAGACCCGAGCACCGACCCGAGCATCGACCCGAGCACCGACCCGAGCATGGACCCAAGCACAGACCCGAGCACCGACCCAAGCACAGACCCGAGCACCGACCCAAGCACAGACCCGAGCATCGACCCGAGCACCGACCCAAGCACAGACCCTAGCACAGACCCGAGCACCAAACCAAATCAACTTATAATAATTTATTGTTAATGTTTTGCTCAATTTTATGCATAGAGGACGAATATTTCAATAATAGGCTTCTTAAAAAAATTGTATACTTATATTCTGAAAATTAAAAATTAGAGGACGAGTAATTCAATTTCATATTAATTAAATAATTGATATGGAATTCAAAATAATTACCTTCTAAGACGGGAAAATTATTATAGGAATTTATCGATTTTTAGATATTTATAATTCATATATCATCGAAAAATGAGGATAATTTATGTTGATTTAATTCTTACCCTAAAGTTGTAAAAAATGGCTAAGCCTCAAACAGATTAGATATGCTGGCTCAGGAGTTGACATTAGTCACCTCAGGAGTTGACATTAGTCACCTCAGGAGTTGACATTAGTCACCTCAGGAGTTGACTCTACTTTAATTTTAAGCTGAAATGCATTTATTTGTTGTTTAACTCTATTTCGATAATGGATATTACAAATTAATGTATAACCTAAAATTGCCTTCCCATCAAAATATTTTTACATTCATCCAAAATATCCCTCTAGCGAGTTGTTCTAGCTGATCTTTTCTCACATATATCGATGGAAAGATCCTTCAGTGCACTAAGAAGTAACCACATTACGAAATAAATTTGACAAATATACTTTAAACGATATTTTAATCATCAAACTTAATATAAATTTGTTAAACAACCTTATCTTTTTTGATATTCATTTTATTAATATTTGTGAATAATTTTATATTTGTCATAGAATAAATAAAATAATTTCAATGAAATTGTTATGACTTTTGATAGTTTTGAGGGAATTTTTACGGGTCATTAAATTAAAAGTAAATAAAATATAGATTTAATCACTTGACAAACCATGATATTTTTATTTTGATATATTTGCTTAGTCTATTTTATTTTTATAACACTTATTTTTTATGGATAAAAATAACCCCGGTCCGGTCTCCCGTATTAGATTGAAACAATCTAAGTTTTATATGATCAGATTAGCTTCTGCTTACAATTATTCCACACATAGCTATTATAAAAACAAATTTCCAAACTTTTTAAATGGTCTAAAATTAATTAGAAACAGATAGGATGTACACACCATAAACTAGGTTTTGAAGATGATTTTTTAATACTTTTTATCAGAGTTGGCAAGTCGGTCAATTGACCGTTCAATTTAAGTCAATCGACGGGAGGAGTATTTGACCTGGTTATATTCGATCAAATATTACAAAATATTTTAAGTGATAAAATGATTTTCAAAAGTATAAACGTCATGTTTAATAGTTGATTAAGGCAGTAATTTTTATAAGAAACAATCAATTCCCACCTAAAATTAGTGGAATAAACTATGCCCACCATGCCCATTAAGGGACTAATAATTCCTAGTTATAGTTTAAAGAAATGTCGATTTGGGATATTCTTACGAAAACAGAAATCGATTGAAGATTTCGACATCAGGAAAGATGGAGAGGATTTTACCTTTGTCTAGATATTTTTTTGGAAAAATGTTTACCCCCAACCTGTCATGATTTAAACCACCAGAAGACATAGATTAATGATTAATTTGAAAACTCTAATCATGCTTCACTTAAAAATAAAAATATATAGTAAAAATTGCTGAGCTATATATTATATTTTCTAAAAATTCAATTTTGAGAAAATTTAAATTTTTACTTGGCAACTTTTGAGAATTCAGTAAAAATTACTTTAAGTAGTAATTCTGAGTAATTAAGGGGAAAATAATATATGTTAAAGCTTTAACCTGTATGTATTACAACTATGCAATATATATTGGCTTACGCTTCATAATTACTGCTTGTCCTTGTGGCTAACTTCGTTTAAGGCTACTTTTTAATATTAGATTCATACAAAATTTTTCAAAATATAACTAATATTTTATATCTAAATTAAATAGACAGAAAAGATAAAAAAAATATATATATAAGGATCGCAAAATCATATGATTCAAAAATATTCTGGAATTGGGGAAATCCCTTTTAATTTAGATGTAATTGATTTTGAATCGCCATCAAAATCCGATAAAGACAGTTTAATGAGTAATGTTATAGTTTATATTTTTATAATTGTTTTTGGTTAGTGATTGGCAAATGATAAATTTATAAATATTAAGTACTCATCAATTAATCTTTTTAAAATGTTTAAGAGTGAGAGAGTAGAGATTAAAACGGCCTTTTTTTAGTCACACTTTAGAGTTAACATTGTAAAGCGAAAATAATCAGTAATACGTAGAGTTGTTAACATTTTTCTAAAAAGAATATTAATTTAATAAATATTTATTTCAAATTGCATAATATATTTGTTTATTAAGATTAATTTTTATATAAATTAACCATTTATCAATAAATATCAGAGACCTGCAGAGGTACCATTTGCACGGCCCGGCCCGGCTTTAAAATTTTTAAGCCCGGCCCGGCCCGGATATTTTTAAAAAAATTTTTTACGGCCCGGCCCGGATTAAAAAATTTAAGGCCCGGCCCGGCCCTGATATTTTTTTAAAAAATTTTTTACGGCCCGGCCCGGATTTTAAAATTTAAGGCCCGGATATAAGTATATTTCATATTTTATTCAGATATTTAATTACAAATTGATACTATAAAAAATTTGTGCAAATAATATTTTTGAATATAAAAGATTCTATTTGTGATTTTTAATTTTTATTTAAAAAATACATGTAAAAAGCTAATATTTTGAGAATATTATATTAAATTTATAAAAATTATAAAACTGTTATTTATAAAAATGGATATTTTGAGCATATACTATATTTTATATTGCATTTAAAATAAAACTAATATTCATAAAAATGGTAATAATATTTTGAGCATATACTATATTTTATATTGCATTTAAAAATAATAAAACTAATATATAATTTATAAAAATGGGAAATATTTTGACAATATAATATATTGTATTTAATTTACTATTTAATTTATAAAGTAAAAATAAATCGCTATTTAAAAAAATGCATGTATAATAAATAGTATTTTGAAAATATAATCAAATTGCACAAATTAATATAATTTATTTAATAATATAAATTTTTAACAAAAGAAGATAATTGTATTATATAATATATTGTAAAAAAAATAATAAAAAACTTTCATGACTCAAGGTAAAATATAATAAATGCAATAAATATTTGACAGTTTGCAAAGTAAAAAACCAGCATGATTGACGAAACCCTATACTCAAGAAAGATATTAAAAATTCACAAATTATCATGAAGAAAAAGAAGCATATCTACCTTTTCAGGTTGAAGATTACTTCTTCTTTCTTCAAGAATTCTTCCAGTAGTGGAAAAATTCCGCTCACAGCTTGCACTTGAAGCAGGAATAGCCAATACCCGTTTTGCCAATTTTGCTAAAATTGGGAATTCGCTTTGATGAGAAGCCCACCACTCTAACAAATTATCCACCTTAAATATTTCATCTGTTTTTTTGTTTATATAATTATAATATTCATCATCGGGTATTGAGATATTACCAGAATTACCATCGCCCCATTTGTCATAAAACGACTTAGTTTGTTTAACAACAGTCATTTGACTGGTCGATGGTATTTCATTTACTTCCTGAGCCTCTTGTGATTTAATATAATCTTTTATATAGTTTTCCGCCATCTTGCGATCTGTCCCTGACAACATACGTAATTGTTTGAATTTGGGACAGAGAAAAAGAGAAATAAAATGATACTTGTGTAAAACAAATTTTTCAATTAAAAAATGCTTTATATTAAGTAATATCAATTTTATTTCTCTTTTTTCGCTTTGAAAGGTATTACAAACTTCAAGAAGTTCATAATACCATATTACCACTTTAAAAAGAGTACAAGAGTCCGACTGTAACTCAACAATAGCTCTGTTAAAATTCTCAAGAATGTTGACTAGATCCTGAAGGATCGGAAAGTCTATAATATAATACTTTTCCGATCCCCCATGTTCTAGAAGAACTTTTTTAATTTCTTCATTTTGAGAATAAACAGAATTGAGCATATTGTACTTAGAGTTCCAGCGGACTTCTATATCTTGATAAAGGGCTTTTAAATGCTGGCATTTCTTTGTTTTAAATGCCCCACTAATATTTTAGTATTATCTATTGTTGATTTTATTAATGGGGCATTACTTTCCAAATATTTGGAGTTAAATGAATTTCTTAAAATTGTATTTAATAAATGACAAGAACAATTTAATCGTTCATTTAACTCCAATGCTTTTATAATATTTTTACCTTGGTCTGTAACAAAAATTATATTAATAAAATCGTTATTGTTAAAACTAAAATTATGAAAATTTTTTAATAGTTCATCCTTAACTACTTGGCTAGTCTTAGACACTTCTTTAAATTTAGCGGTAAATAGGTTTCTCTTCACTAACTTCCAGTCATCTGATATATAGTGCATGTTAACTGTTATAAACGAGTTCTTTTTATGGTCATCGCACCATATATCAGTGGAAGCAGCCATAAATCGATTCTTGATTACTGGGGCAATAGTATCAACCAAAATGCTTCTTATTTTATTACATTTTTCTTTAAGGTGGCGTGATAGAGTGGTGGGATGTGAAATTAATGAGTTGATATCTATTTTACCATATGTTGCCCCAACATCGACTAGAGCCTGGCTGAATTTAAGAAACCCATTCCCAGCTATCATTTCGAAAGGTCTAATATCTTTTGCGCAAAGTGTAAGGAATGATCTATAAATTTTTGTTTTAAATATTTCATATTACATTTATAAGTGGGGTTTTCAGGTGTAAAAAAAAAATTATTAATTTTCATAGATTTACCATAACATTTATGTCTTTTTAAATGTGATGTACCATGGTTATAATTATAAGATAATAAATTTGAACAATTTATGCATTGCACATAGCCAATATTTTTTTTATTATTATTATCTATTATTATTTTAAATTTAGACCAAATTTCAAATTTTAAAGTATTATTAGTATTTTTAAAAGAATAAATATTATTTTTAATTTTGTCAATTATATCTTTAGTGTTTTGTGCCATGATATTCCTTTTATTGATTGTTTTGGAAATATTCTAAAAATTTAGATATGAATTATAAGATTTATATTTAATATTAATTTTTACTTTAGCTTCTTGAATGCTTAAAATTGATTGATTGAGTATCACTAATTCTAATGATAATAAATATTAATTAATTATTTATATCTTACATTGATTATAAATATCTAATATCAATATTTATTAAATAATGTAGATTGAAATTATTATATTTATTTATTATAATAAATTTAAACTGAATATTATAGTTATAAGAAAAAGTATGTTATTAAAATTTTATATTATTTACAAAAAGATTCAATCTAATTTGAAATAGATTTTATAAACTAATATATGAAGCTAAAAAATATCAATGTACATTTTTATTTAAAGAGAATAATTCAAATTTTGAAATCATTTATTCTAAAAATTTATCAATGTTTAAATTTAATTTTACAGTAAGATAAAATTAATAGCAAAATAGAATTTTTTATTACTTAAATCTGTTTATGGGATATATCCACTTCTAAACTATTCTTCTAACACAACTGTTCTAAGTCTAACTTTTCTAACACAATTTGAAAATGACTAGTGGAGCACTGCAATTCTAGATAATAACATATATTAAGTAATTTAAAATATATTTATAATAATTATACATACTGTTCTAAGTCTAACTTCTAAGTTTTCTAACACAATTTGGGAGCACTGAAATTTTAGATATTAAAATATATTAAGTAATTTAAGATGGAGTTTTCCGGTATCTTTCAGGAAATTAATAATTAGATCGATCTGTGGGTGTTAGGTAGTGTTAACCATCACCCAATATTATATTAATCATAACTATAATATAATATAATCTTATAACCAATAACTCATTATGTAAAATTTTTTATAAAAAATATTAAGGCCCGGCCCGGCCCGGGTTTAAAAATCTTAGGCACGGCCCGGCCCGGATATATTAAAAAAAAATTTTTAGGCCCGGCCCGGATAAATTATTTTTTAGGTCCGGCCCGGCCCGGGTATATTTAAAAAATTTAAAATACGGCCCGGCCAGGGCCGGGCCGAGCTTGCAGGTCTCTGATAAATATACAATATTTATTAAATATTATGACAATTTTTAAATATGATAATATACCAAATATATATTTAAATAAATATAATTCTTTAAATAATTCGTCCTATAAATTAAATATCGTGCCATCCCAAGACGATAGAGCTAGGCATTGTTTTAGCGTCTTTGATGACATCCGTTTCGTAACGGTATCTCCAGCTCGTCAGAAACCCGCTCGCTAGGGACAGAGGTAGTTTGCTGAGCCAGAAAATCCCTCGCCATTTGAGAAAGGCGTGTTTGGTTTCCTCTCCACCAATCTAGAATATTAGCATTTTCTGGACAAAGTGGTTCTCCTAAATATTCATCTATTTCGGTCTCAAAAGCACTCCCACGTACATTTTTCTTTCTAGATGTCATAAAATAATTATTAGATACATCATATAATTTATATACTTTTTTAATTCCTGCAAAATGGATAAAGATGTAAGATTATTAGGATTACTCTCATCATCGACATATTGATAACTTGTCCCAGAGGTTGAATAAGTTTTAAAGACACTTTTAAAATCATCAAAATAATCCTTTTGTAAATCAATATTATTTGGAATTAAGGATTTTTTTATTCTTGGGTCTAAAAAAGACCCGGCATAATTGGCGAAATGATACATTTTCGCCAAATGGTCATCACATTTAATCAACATGTTAGATGCTGCATTATATATTATTCCATTATTTTTTGTAGCGTTTATTAGATTTTCGTGAATAAAATTTAAAAATAAGATCGTCATCCTAATAGTTGGGGATGTGAACTAATTTCACAAGTTATTTTGTAAAAAGGAGATAAAAATATTTCCAGATCGGTTAATAATTGGCGTAATTCCTTATTAATAAAAAACTTATTTTTCCCCAAAGATGTTTGTCCTAGTTCAACAATTGCTTCGATATTCTGTATTAAATAAATATATTAATGTTTAAATATTAATACTTTGTAAAAATAATACCTTATTTACAGCAGCTATCATTAGATATGTGCTGTTCCAGCGTGTAGCAACGTCCAAAGGAATTTTGGTACCTCCACTTATTTTAACATATTGTTCCATTAATTTAGGGGAGGTATGAAGCTTGTTGACTAGGGTATGAATTATCTCCAATTTATTTGATAAAAACCCTAGTCCTTCTTGTACAATTAAATTTATAACATGGGCTAGACAACGATGGTTGTACAAGTCTTTTTTATAAAGAAGTTTAAACTCCTCTTTCATCATATTAAAACCACTAACAATATTTTTGGCATTGTCGTGTGTAATTGATATTATTTTAGCCGTTATTTCAAAATCATTAAAACAATTGAACAGCAAATCGGAAATTTGCTGTCCTGTATGGGGATGTGGGAAAGAAACTATGGTTAGTAATAAATTAGTTAGTTTCCATTCACTACTGATGTAATAAATAGTTACAGCGTAGTAAGTTATGGAATCTGGGCTAGACCAGCAATCTGTAGTGATTGCTAGTCTATTTATATCAGTTAATTTTTTAATTATTATTTTTTTAGACGATTCATATATTGTACAAAGCTTTTTCTTTAGAGTTTGTCTCGTCCAAATTTTAAAGCCTTTGTTACAATAATGAATCATCTCTTTAAAACTATTATGTTCTATATTTCTAAATGAAATATTGGTTAGGATGAGATATTTTAATATCAGCATATTTAATTTTATATTTTCTTGATTTTTGGGTTTTCTTATTCCCGGCATAACCAGGGTTGCCATGCCTCCCCCCATCAGTGGGAGTCTCCCACAATTTTTTAGTTTACCCACATACATCTCACTCCCACAAAACTCCCACAATTAGAAATCTCCCACAATCTCCCACAAAAATCTCCCACAATTTTTTAATTTCTCCCACAATTTTTTTTTTAGCATTTTAATGTTTTTAATATATATATAATAATTTTGAGAGACAGTATTTGATTATTTTTATATTTTTAAATAAATTTTAAATATTTATTCGAAAAATATGTCTAGTTCTTTTATTTTATTTTTCCGCTAATTTTAAATTCTCCATCCAATCCAATCCATTCGACATTTTCAAAATTTGAAGTTAGAATAGTATGGGAAACTAGTGCTTTTTTTATATTTTTATTTATATATACCATGATAGTTATCTTCTAGGTGAGATTTAGATTGTTTTGAGGTTAAAGCACTAGTTTCCAATACTGATGTTGTTTTTTGGACAATAAAATGTTATAATTAAATATATAAAAAGAAAAATTATTTTCAATATAAATTGCTTATGTACTATTATATATTAAAAAATATATTATTAATATTAGAAGTAATATTTTTAAAAATTAGCAATGAAAGTGGAACTCATCTTAGAAAATATTATTATCCTAATCATCTTTAATCTAAGCTTAAAAAATCCTAAATATTATACATATTTTATATTTTTATTTATATATACCATGATAGTTATCTTCTAGGTGAGATTTAGATTGTTTTGAGGTTAAAGCATTAGTTTCCAATACTGATGTTGTTTTTTGGACAATAAAATGTTATAATTAAATATATAAAAAGAAAAATTATTTTCAATATAAACTGCTTATGTACTATTATATATTAAAAAATATATTATTAATATTAGAAGTAATATTTTTAAAAATTAGCAATGAAAGTGGAACTCATCTTAGAAAATATTATTATCTTAATCATCTTTAATCTAAGCTTAAGATATCCTAAGAGGCCGAGTTAATGGTTAAACAAAATTATAAAATGTCATGCCAGGATTTTTATAAATATCTTAATAACGACGGTAAACGTTTAGTTCCATTATTTAAATCTCATATAAAATATAATTAACTATAACTATTTGACTTTCTATATTTTATAAAATCTTATTTATACATTTGCATAAAATCAAATAAATTTATTTTTTACATTGTAAAATTAATATTTTGAATATTTTGGCAAATCATAAAAATAAAGAAGCATTACAATCTCCTCAAACATGACATCATATTAAATCTTATTAATAATTATCCGATAATAGTAATATTCTTACTTTGGTATTTCTGCAGCATAATTTAGTGGGCCTTTATTAAATTATATTCTTCTGATTGCAACTGCATATTAACAGCATATAGTAGATTTCCTATATGTAAAATTCCTAAATATACTTCTGCCATTTATTTTTGAAAATTATTTTCAAATAGGACAGCTTTTATAATCTATTTATTTTTTAAAGGTTTGTATTTTAAAATTCTACGATGGCGCGTATTAGGAGGAACCTGTCAACCAACATTATGCTGACTCAATTCTGTAAATACACTCTGGTTTTTGCCAAATTCACTGAGGAATTATCAGATCAGAAAGCTACCATGCAATTCATTGGTAATGCCAAATCTGCCATATTTACCATTATATATGGTTAGCTATGTCTTTGGATATTTCATATCTGGAGAAAATTTTTTTAATAGTTTTATTAAAATGACATTAATTTTGTTGAAATAGGGGAGGATCAAGGGAAATGTTTTGATATCTCCTTATTAGATGCATCTGTTAGAATTGCATATGTTAGCACATCTTTCAAATCGTCAAGAATTGACCTTCTGGATTTATATCCTAAAACATTGTTGATAGCCTTGCTCATTTTGTGTTCTACAAAGTATTCTATTCATTTATATTAGTCGTTAAATATTATGGGGAAAGATTCTACCAACATTGAGATGTTGAGTAACTCTCTGAATGTTGTACTGCATGATAGGTATTTACCATTTCCGGCAACTTTAGTTGCATCTATATTATTTCTTATTTTTGAAGAATATTTTTGTTTTGAAATAGATGTTGATAGAATGCCCTGTACTGATTTATGCTTTGAAGATTTTTGATACCTCAAAATATCATATTCCCTTCCCCCATTTATTTTTTTACATTGTAAAATTACAATTTTTTATAAAATTTTATCTTGTTTACATTCTTTTGTATTTAAAAAAGATCGTTGGTTATTATTTTTAAACAAAATTAATATATTATAATAAATCAATGTTTTTTTAATAATAAAGATAGTACTCTAAGAAATTTTGTGTCGTACAGTAATTACCTATTTTGAAAAATAGTTGGGTATTTTATTTTGGAAAATAGTTAACTATTTTATTTTGAAAAAGTTGGATATTTTATTTTGAAAAATAGTTAGGCTATTTTATTTTGAAAAAGAGTTGGATATTTTATTTGAAAAATAGTTGGCTATTTTATTTTGAAAAATAGTTGGCTATTTTATTTTGAAAAAAAGTTAGCTATTTTATTTTAAAAAAAGTTAGCTATTTTATTTTGAAAAATAATTACCTATTTTATTTTGGAAAATAGATTAGATTTTATATTTATAAAAAATAATAAGTGGATAACTAAGTCAATTCTAAATCCCGGTCCTTTGCAGGCCGAAGGCCTGCAAAAAAATTTTTTTTAGCAATTTCTCCCACAAAATATCTAATTTCTCCCACAATTTGAAAATTTTGACCTGGCAACCCTGGGCATAACATCAGGGGTTGTGATAGATGCTTCTGATATTATATTAGGATGAGATAATCCCAAGTGTCTTTTTAAATTTGCTAAAAATTAACAAAAATATAATTTGTAGGAATAAAATATTACTTGTGGAAGTTGTATTTTTGTACTTTTTTGAGCAATGAATACACTTCTAATGATTTTTGGTAGGAGTCTCAACAAAACTCCCCTTTATATCTAACGATATAGAGGAATTATTAAAGGAGGTTTCGGGTGTCGATTGTGCAAATTCAGCTAAGAAATCAAGGCCAATATTTTCGAGTTGGATGTCCATCTAAAAAAAAAATTTTTTAAATATAATTTACGTGAATTAAGCGCATTAGCCCTAAAACGTCATATATATCAGAAATATATATACAACAGAGCAACGCTTGGTTCTCTCATGAAAAACCCATCTAACTGGGATAGAAGATGGGAAATACTTAAATAATTGGACCATCCACGTTTTTTGGGAAGGCCGCGGTTACCTGTGCGCGCAAGAGGCAAAACCCCTTACTTAAACGCCCATGGGAAATAAAAATAGAGATGAAAAGGTAATGTAGATTTGACTTATATGCACCATATAATAATATTAATATAATAATATTAGAAGAAAATAAGGTATTAAACTTACGTATAGGAAAATAAAATATAATAATCGTCCAGTATAATGTAGAAAATTAGGTTAAAATATATAGAGGAAGTAATTTTTTTATCAAAATAATTTTTTTTATCAAAATAAATTTTTTTTATCAAAATAAATTATTTTTTTTATCAAAATAAATTTTTTTTATCAAAATGAATTTTTTATAAATTTTCTCACTTTTAAATACTTTTTTTATTACTATTATTTATAAAAAAACAATAAATAAATAATTATTTATTACTAAAGTAAAGAAAAGAGGGAGGGAGGGATATGGTTTATATTTAATTTTGTAATTCTTTCATAAAAATGTTTCTGTCTAAAATAATTATTATATTTTTACCCAGATTGAATTTAGAAAAAGAAAAGGAAAGAAAGACAAAGAAGAACTAATAATTACCCCCTAATTTTTATAAAAAAAATCCATATTCATAGAGTTAGCTAAAAAATAATATTTTTTTTTTATTTATTATTTTTTTTATTTTATTTTACTATAAAAAAGGGAGGGGAATAGAATTGGTAGTTATGCTATTACTGAAAAAACAAAAAATAATTAAAAAACGGAAGTTATTAATATTAAATAAAATAAAACTTAAATTTTTTTCGGCAAAAGAATTCAAAAGTAGAATGAATAGAAATAGAATTGTTAATTTTTTCATTGAAAGAGAAAATTTTTTTTTTTTTAAAATATTAAATCAAGGAAGGAGGGGGAGGGGTATTTTTAAGATCAAAATTATAATACATATACTTACTTTATTTAAGATATTATATATATATTGTCATAATATTTAATAAATATTGTATATTCAAGTTTATGGTGTGCATAAGATCTATTTTTATGGGGGTTAGGTGTGGAATAACTAAGTAGTTTTTTTCTTTACAATAGTTAAAAATGAAGGAAAATTAAATGTGATAACACTATCCCCGGTCTATTTTGAACCTTGGCATATTAATATAAAAATACAGAATTTTATTAGATAAGATATCTCTATTTTATAAGACTATACACTATACTATATTTGTTATAGTGAAAAATTGAATATATATAATTTATATTGCTAAATAATTATAAATTAAGAAGAATTAAATAAAATTTCAGAAAATCTTACTAAAATATTTTATTGATAAATGGTTAATTTATATAAAAATTAATCTTAATAAACAAATATATTATGCAATTTGAAATAAATATTTATTAAATTAATATTCTTTTTAGAAAAATGTTAACAACTCTACGTATTACTGTTTATTTTCGCTTTACAATGTTAACTCTAAAGTGTGACTAAAAAAAGGCCGTTTTAATCTCTACTCTCTCACTCTTAAACATTTTAAAAAGATTAATTGATGAGTACTTAATATTTATAAATTTATCATTTGCCAATCACTAACCAAAAACAATTATAAAAATATAAACTATAACATTACTCATTAAACTGTCTTTATCGGATTTTGATGGCGATTCAAAATCAATTACATCTAAATTAAAAGGGATTTCCCCAATTCCAGAATATTTTTGAATCATATGATTTTGCGATCCTTATATATATATTTTTTTTATCTTTTCTGTCTATTTAATTTAGATATAAAATATTAGTTATATTTTGAAAAATTTTGTATGAATCTAATATTAAAAAGTAGCCTTAAACGAAGTTAGCCACAAGGACAAGCAGTAATTATGAAGCGTAAGCCAATATATATTGCATAGTTGTAATACATACAGGTTAAAGCTTTAACATATATTATTTTCCCCTTAATTACTCAGAATTACTACTTAAAGTAATTTTTACTGAATTCTCAAAAGTTGCCAAGTAAAAATTTAAATTTTCTCAAAATTGAATTTTTAGAAAATATAATATATAGCTCAGCAATTTTTACTATATATTTTTATTTTTAAGTGAAGCATGATTAGAGTTTTCAAATTAATCATTAATCTATGTCTTCTGGTGGTTTAAATCATGACAGGTTGGGGGTAAACATTTTTCCAAAAAAATATCTAGACAAAGGTAAAATCCTCTCCATCTTTCCTGATGTCGAAATCTTCAATCGATTTCTGTTTTCGTAAGAATATCCCAAATCGACATTTCTTTAAACTATAACTAGGAATTATTAGTCCCTTAATGGGCATGGTGGGCATAGTTTATTCCACTAACTTTAGGTGGGAATTGATTGTTTCTTATAAAAATTACTGCCTTAATTAACTAATAAATATGACGTTTATACTTTTGAAATTCATTTTATCACTTAAAATATTTATTCCCTCAAAACTATCAAAAGTCATAACAATTTCAATGAAATTATTTTATTCATTCTATGATATAAAATTATTGACAAATATTAATAAAATGAATATCAAAAAAGATAACGTTGTTTAACAAATATTAATAAAATGAATATCAAAAAAGATAACGTTGTTTAACAAATTTATATTAAGTTTGATGATTAAAATATCGTTTAAAGTATATTTGTCAAATTTATTTTGTAATGTGGTTACTTCTTAGTGCACTGAAGGATCTTTCCATCGATATATGTGAGCAAAGATCAGCTAGAACTACTCGCTAGAGGGATATTTTGGATAAATGTAAAAATATTTTGATATGAAGGCAATTTTAGGCTAATTTGTAATATCCATTATCGAATTAGAGTTAAACAACAAATAAATGCATTTCAGCTTAAAATTAAAGTAGAGTCAACTCCTGAGGTGACTAATGTCAACTCCTGAGGTGACTAATGTCAACTCCTGAGCCAGCATATCTAATCTGTTTGAGGCTTAGCCATTTTTTACAACTTTAGGGTAAGAATTAAATCAACATAAATTATCCTCATTTTTCGATGATATATGAATTATAAATATCTAAAAATCGATAAATTCCTATAATAAATTTTTCACGGTCTTAGGAGGTAATTATTTTGAATTCCATATCAATTATTTAATTAATATGAAATTGAATTACTCGTCCTCTAATTTTTAATTTTTAAAAAGACTATTATTGAAATATTCGTCCTCTATGCATAAAATTGAACAAAACATTATCAATAAATTATTATAAGTTGATTTGGTGCTCGGGTCTATGAAATTGGTCGACCAGGTCGTTGCTTTGGTTTTGATTCATTTTTTCGACCAAACAACCAAAAATCATGCTAATTCGACCCAACCAAGCAATTTAACAACACTACTGCCGACTGTGAAAGGGACCCATTTATGAATTTGATCATGCTAGATGATCGAGCTAAATAAGAGTATATAATTTGCCAAATTTCATATTTGAACCTTCGATATGATGAATAGAATGGAAAGAAATCATCGCAGAGCGAATCTAATCTTTCCCCAATAAATATAGCCGAAAATAAAAGAAGAAATTAAAGATTTAAGGAAAAAATCTAAATTCAAAAATTATACCACCCCCCCCCCCCCAATTAATTTTTAAGCAATATACCACTGATTGGTCTTAATAAAAAATTGGGTCAGGTTCGAAATTTAAATAATTTCAGGGATAATTAAATTTGAATTGCTCCAGGCTTATAATGGAAAAAATATTTTTGATATTATCATACATCACACGGAGCGGAGAGTGTTTAATTATTACTATTTTATTTATTTACTTCTTATGATTACGCATATAAAAACATCAAAATCAATAATTTATATCACAAAAAAACATAATGAAAAACAAAAGAAATCGTATTTTAATTTTTAATTTTATCAAATAATTTTTAAATTTCATTCCTTATTTATTAAGTAACATAAAATTTACGTAATAAAACAAAATTGATTATAAAAATATTTATATCAATTTTGCAAATATAATAATTAAAAAAAATAATAAAAATAAAATTAAGAATTAAAAAAAAATGAATAAATAAATATAAAAACAATACATAAACAATAAAATTATAAAAAAAATAAAACAAAATTTAAAATAAATAAACAAGTTATAACCGATAAAAAAAAAGTCGGTGTTTCAATAGTTATTTTTTAAAATTAAAATTAGAAAACAAAAAATAAATTTTTTCTCAAATGTGTTAAAATCTTATTTCAAGGCAAATTTCAGTTTTCAAATTTTTTTTATGGCCTCATCAATGGTCTTTTTCGTAATTAAATTTTATCAACATTAAAAAATTTTTAAAAATATATGTCTAAAACTTATTGAACCTTATTTCATCTATCCATACGAGTCCCGTTATAACTAAACCAAAAATTTATATAAATTACGTGATACAAATAATTTTTTTCTTCAAAAAAGAAATAATTTTTTGCATTTTAAAAAGACGTAATAAACGCAATTTTTTGTTTACAAAATGAAAAATAATATTTTTTGAACGCGGGCTTTTTGTAATATTTTTAAAAAGGATTAGAAATTTTTTTGTATGACTGGGTTTCTAGCGGTGCTACAACCAACTCAATTCAGGGGTTGGAACGTGGTTAAAAACATGTTTTTTATTACTCCCACATTTGGATTAGAATATAAGAACGTTTAATATTTTATGCATGCTCGAAATAGACGAAACTTATACATTATATTCATTATTTACTACCATTACCACCTTCATTACTTTGTTTACAAATTTGTTTTCAAAATATCGAGTCTCTTCATTATTTTGTTGAGATAAAAAAAATTTTTTTCAAAATGTATAATCTTAATATTTGTGAAGGAAAGAACGATCACGATATCATTATAAAAATGTCCATGTTGGGGTTGTTCTTTTGAAAATTTTATCACAATCCCGCCATGTTTGACCATGTCTCCTGAGTAGTCGTTTTCTTATTTACCTTTACTTATGCAATGAATAACGCCAAACCGACTATAAAGGATGCTAATTTATCGATTAATAAAGTCAAAAATACCATACGATTTAATATAAAGTTGGAGGAATCAAACGAAACCACTTGCCCTGAAATATTCTATTCCGAGCTATATAAGAGTGAATACCATAAGCAGGTAATAAATTATATAGTTTGTCATTAATTAATCTTTAAATGTAATCCAACAATCGTTTATAAAAATTTGATCGCTTTAAATAATTGTTCCACCATATTGAAAGCTGACGTCATTATTTAAAAAAAAATTGTAATAAATATAGGTTTGTTATCTGTATTTATAAATATCTAAAATGAATAATGTTCTTTTATATATATTATATTGTAAAAAAAATTAACATAGAATTTTGAAATTTAATTAGAAAGATGGTAGAGCTATAAAAAAAGATGAAAGTGATTCTTCTAGTCCTGATGCTTTTAATTCTAAGGAAAGAAAGATTGAAGAAGAAAGAATATCAACAATTGTTCAAAGTTTGGAAGCTAAATATGTAATGCACTTTATAAGATTTTATTAGATAATTGCCATATTTCTAAATTGATAAATACTTTTAATAATATTCCTTGCTCTTGATTATTTTACTGAACATTTCATTTTTTATATAAATATACTATACAGTATCTACATGAATTTTATAAATTTAGTTCATTTTAGGCATAGCTGTGGAAGGGGGAATGAAAATTTCCTTTGCCTTAGGAAATTAAAAGATTCTTACCTTTTTTAAAAAAATCTAAAAAATAATTTAAATAATGACTAATTCAAATTTTTTTAAAAAAACTTTTTTATATAAAAAAAACCTAAAAATGACATGGCCTAATGCCTGCCATGTATGGATATTCAAATTTTTTTAAAAAAACTTTTTTATATAAAAAAAACCTAAAAATGACATGGCCTAATGCCTGCCATGTATGGATGTAAAGACTTCCAATAAAATTTGTGGGGAAAATTTACCTAACAGAGTGTCCCCCTTTCTCCCTAACGAATCTTGTGAATGCCTATATTATATATTTTTAAAAAATGAGATAATTTTTAACATATAATTAAAAATATGAATCGAATTATTTTGAATTAACAATTATATATTATAAAGGGTTCAAATAGATCCAAGAAGAAGAAGAAGAAATTTAGGAAGAAAATTGTTGACCTATTAGACATGGGAATGGGTTATGATGAATCTGATAGCTTTATAGATAATTCAGAAGCAGTATAATTAATATATAAATTTATCCAAAGGATTTTGTTTTATTGTAATGAGTAACCATTATATTATAACTATGTTTGAGTTGACTAATTAAATAAAAAGTCATTATTTAGATATATTCTTTTTATCTATTATTTTAAAAGATCAGTAATTTTTATTACTACATTATTTTGAGGAGTGATTATTTTAAGTAATTTCCCATTTCACTGCAATTTACCAAATTTTTTTGATTGTTGATTACATTAATTTATATTTAAAACTTTCTTAATTATTAATTACATATATATTTCATTTTTTTAAAATATCAATTCCATTTTAGTCTCTAGTTTTAATTCCTTGACTGTACCACACTTCTATTTATTTGATAGACTATATCATCTTTTGGAATATCATAGAAGAGTGGGTGCACTAAACGATATCACAGATATCAGCTTTTAACAGCTTTACCTAAAATTTTAGATATCACCATATTGATTAGTTATTTTTATATGAATTGTAAGTGCTGTTTTAATGAAATGAGAAAATATATTGTAGAGGAAAGAGATATGTTTTAATTACAATTTTCAAAATAATTTTCTTAATTAGCTGGATCAAGCTACTAAATGATACACTGATTTGGAGAATTTAGTTGCAAAAATTTACCCTGATTTAAATCAAATAATAAATTTCATTAGAGGTATATTTTTTCAATTAAATCTTCTAGATCAGAAAATATATATATTCTTTTTAATTTTTCTTAATAATTAATTATTTTTGCTATATAGTGGTCTTTTTCTGGTTTACCTGGATAGCCCATTTTCTTTTCTAATCCCCTTTCTCCATTTTCCATGCCTTGGGCATTGCCACCAATCAAATTGAGGACTTATATCATTATCCACCACTTCTAGATTATCTTTGGTCTTTCCACTTCAATCAATAGATCCATTTAACCTATTGCTCTATACCTTCAAATCATATACAAACTAGGTGTGTACATATTGAAACAACCTCCTATTGATATTGGGTGATTATTGATTCGATATCCTATCAGATTTTGTATTCTGTAAACATACTAGTCGTTTTAATTTTTAATGCATACATCCACTCATCTCATATACTTTTAAATAGTACAACATCTATATCTTAACTATACCATAACATAAATCATTTAAATATATTATAATGATCAGTTATAATTTATATTTATCAATTTAATATTATATAAATATTTTTATTGATAAATCACTTATTTAATATTAGCTTTAACCTATTTACATAATAAGTAAAAAACAAATATATGGAATTTGTAATAAATTTTTTAAAAATGAAGACGCCATTTTATTGGATTGGATTGTAAATTTTTATAATATTGGCTGATAACTAATATTTAAAAAAATGAAATAATGTCCTGATATGATCCAATAAAAAATATTGGTATATTCTTAATTCAAACCATCTCAATATATTTCTTCTCATGACATTACCTATTGCTTCTATCCCAATATTTTCCCTCAGTTCTTTGATTGTTTTTCTTTCTCAGAGACACCCACATATACATCCAACTTTATTCTTTCTAACTTGCCATATTACGTTGCCACACAGCTTACTTGTGCAAAAGTTACATAAATTTTTCCTTTATCTGTGATACATTTTTACCCATTAAAATACAGGATATCTCTCTGAATATCTTCCAAGCATATTTTATACCCTTGTCACCACTGCCAAGAAGCCTTCATCATTGCTTAGGTAGCAAACTTCCCCACTTTTTCCTAACTTGTTCTATCTCGGGTATAAAAATCATTATCATCTTACCCCTTTCACAGAATTTTTATATAAAACTTCATGCTTGCCTTTTGTAGGCTTCCCTTTAAACAACTACACCTATTGTGAGTGGGCTCGAGGTGGATCTCTTAGGTAGCCTTACCCTTTCCATAAAATTATCACTATATCTATCATTTGTTCAAATCACTTTTTTTGCCCCTTAATATATCACCATCACTGCCGTTATTAACTGTATGATATATATTTTTTAATTGAAATGAATATAATATTAATCAAAGAACTGTAGCTGTAAAAATTTAAGGCTTAGAATATTGTTAATCACTTAATTCAGACTAACTCCAATATGGTTTACTTTAGCTTTTAGTCTAAGAAATTGACTTACCTTTGTGAAATTTTGTTATTTTGATTAAGCTCTATTTTATGACTTGTTTGAAGAAAAATTGAAAATAATGAATATTGAACACTTATATGGTTTCTCAAAATTTTCCATCAAGGATTTGATCAATTCGTTTAAAATAGATTGTTATTGGCCTGGTTTTTAAAAATATTATTTATTTTTAAAAAATGAATTATAACTCAAGATTTTAATATTATTTTGTCTAAAATTTAATCAGAAATATTAATATAAAAGATCTAAAATATATTCATTTTTTCCTATAGCCACATTTACAAAGTGCCATTTTTCGCCAATAACATTCAAATTTAAAATCTAGATAGCATAATTAGACATTTTACCAACGAAGCAAAGAATTTACTTTAGACTAAAAATTCAAATTGAAATTCTTATATATAATTATGGCTTTTAATTTTTATATTAATAGAAAACGGCAAATTTAACACTTGAAAAAATATTTTTGGGCCCCAATACATAATATGGTTGCCTTTTGGGATCAGTATATATCTCCCAGTTTGAGTGTTGTTTAAGGACCCGAACAATGACGGTTAGAGCTATGTTGGAATATTAGCTCCATGTAGTACCTTCTGAATCATGGAGAGGATGCTTGTACTCCAAACTTATATTAAACAAAATATATTATAACATGGCAATTATTTCTCATAAATTTATTCCAATAAATTTTTATGTATTTCTTCATTTACATAACCGCTAAGTCGGTATTTGGACCTGGGAGACTTAAATTCCATTTTTAGCATACAATAAAATATAAACAATTTGTCTTACTATATAACCTCTTTAATGCCCCCTTTGAGGTTAACTATTAGCGAGGTTTAACTAGTTTTTTTAAATTAAAATTTACATAAAAATATTACACTATTAATTAATGCTATATAGTAACGTTATTTTTTTGAGGAAAAGGAACTAACGCGTTTTCTTTTATTTATTCATAAAAAATATGGAAAATTTTATATTTTTTAAATTTTAAATTTAGACCATGTTTTTAATTCAGATCAATACCATAATTTTCCATTTTTATTTTATTTATACATTTTTGTTGAATTTTATACAGTCAAGATTGCTAATCTAATTAATATTGAATCAATCAAGATATGCCAATTTATATTAATAATATTATCATTGATTTTATAAAGAATATATGTCAATTATATGTCTTTGTAAGTGTCGATTATGCCTTCATTCAAATATTTCAACCTCGACGTTTAGCAGTTCAAATTTAAAAAAACACATGAAAGGGAAAAATATCAATTCAAGATTAAATTCTGATAAAAGATAAAAAAAATTGATGAGGATCTATCTGAATGAAGATTCATGTGAATAGTGTAGTTAAACGGCTCATTTTGAGCCGATTTTTAAAAACGGCTAACTCAATATTTTATCCAGAAAAATATTACGCAAGCCTGAAGATTTTGTTCATAGAAGGAATAAAGGTCTAGACATATATTGTCGAAATCTCGAGGCTTAGGCAATATTTTTCTGGCTAAAATATTGAGTTATTTGTTTTTAAAAATCGGCTCAAAACGAGTGATTTAACAACACTACATGTGAATATGATCTAATATCTTTTTTTGGGAAATAAAGATCATTTTTTAAATATATTTTTAATAAATTCCCCCAATTTTATTAAATACAATACAACCCCCCCCCCCCTCATCCTTTGCGGCACTTAAACGTGTGATTAACATAGCGAAAGTTGTGTTGACCATTAAGCACACTTGTTTATCCTATCAAAATTTTGAAAATCAATTGGAAAAATATATAAAAATTTTTACTAAAAGAAGGGTAACACTAAACTGAAAATGTGCTAAGGTAAACTGCAAATGCTTAGGTAAATTTTTTTGATATATTCTCTATTAATCGGAGGGAGATTCATTTTCTTATGATATAATAACTTATAAAAATTAATATTAAAGTAATATACATTAATAGTTGTATTTCCTTTTATCTCGTAATAAATAGTTAAAATTCTTTAATATTATACAAAAATAATTATGATTATTTTATATTTCAATAATATTAAATCCTCAAGTTGGCATAACTAGGATTTAAATTATTTATTATGAGATAAAAGGAAATATTATTAATGAACATTCCTTTATTATTAAATATAAAATAATTTTTTTTTAAGTTAATTATAATAAAAAAATAAATCTTACTTCAATTAATAAGGTATATCAAAATTTTCATCTAAGAATTTGCAGTTTACCTAGGCATTTGTAGTTTTCAAATCGCAAAAAGAATATTTTATTTTTTTATAAATAACGAGAAACGCGTCACTTTTTTAATAACGAGTATCATGTTCCTTTTTTATAAGGCAGTAACGCCATCCTTTTTTCAAACAACGGATAATGCATTATTTCTATTTTGAAGTAATGTTTACAGTACTACTATTAATTAATATTTAAATATTATAGTACTGCAATTTTGATTTTTCTTTTGACCTTAGAGAGTGAATGTTTACACTTAATTCTAATTAGCTTCAATGGAGCTAGCGAATAAACTATCGGTAATGTAAGAAAGAATAGATATTATAATTATTTTTATATGTGTAGATTAGATCATACACAACAAGGGGGTGGTATATAATAGCTTACCGATTTATCACATCTTACTGGGTATAATATAGCTCCTACTAAATAACACCCCTAAAGGTGTGGTCCATCCACATATTAAAATATTTCATACACAAACTAGGCATAAATTATATATGGGATATTTAGACACCTTATCACCCTTTTTGAATTTAAATATATAACACTAGTATGATGAATTGGTGCCTTCGACGCTTACAACAAAATTGGGTGGCTTTTATATAAATTCCGGTATTTTGGAATTCAAGGAACTAACCTCATCCTCGAGTGATGAGGATGAATTGTCGCTACCAGATAAGAGTGAATCCGCTGCCATTGACAACAATTCTGCGGATGCTAAAAATAACGCTCTTGGCAATCGCCCCGAAATCGCGATCGTAGAATTAAAAAACCTCAACCATCGCACCGTTAACAATAATAAACAACATTTCGTACAGAATAGTCGCGTTCTGCTGACCAAAAAATTAGCGCATGATTTAAAGAACGCTAGCATCGGCAAAAAAACTTCCCACTACAGCCCCATAACACTTGTCAAGGACAGAAAGAAAATGAACAAAAAGAGCCCTATCATTAGTGTAAGGCCTTAACCTTTATATATTTAAAATATTTTAAAAATATTTCCTAGGTGCTGCATGCTTGAAAAAGAGACACTAATATTAGATTAAAAAATAGCTATACTTTTTAATATTATAACCAGAGTTTGGAATTAAACCGGGGAGGGTTCCCTGTTCCGCCGATTATTTGCCAGTAGACTGCTCCATTTCCTAACAATTTTAAAAGTATATTTCCAGTTCCTAAATTTTTCCAAAGGAGTTTTTTTTGTTTCCAAGTTCCTATTATATATCCAGGGTTTTTAGTCGTTATAATATAATATGTCTATGATACAAATTTTAGAATCAATCCAGCACCTCCTCCCCAATCCCTTCCCTATCTAATGACCAAAAACATCTCGGCAACAAATTGTCCTCTCCTCACGTCGTCACTAACAACAGTCTGGCTGCAAAGCTCTCCAAAAAACTCATCAAAAAGTCCTCCGCCATTTCCGGCTCATCCCCCAATCTGACTCCCTCGCCTCATCACCCATTCAAATCTTCCAACAATCAATCGTCATCTAATTCTCAGCCTACATTGTCAAATACCTGCGCCATTCAAAATTTAACGCCTGATGGTTATAAAAAAATTCTTTATTTAGTATTTATTAATTATTTATTAGTGTTCTAACATTGTAAATTTAATATTCAATAATAATTCTTATATTTAATCCGAATTTTACTATTTTTGATTAATTTACAGCTTGACCTAGGTTTCAAATTTTCTCGTATTACATATTTCCTGAATTTGTTATTTTAATTACAACAATTCAGTAAAAGAATAGAAAATTAATCACATTTACATAATATTATCTATTATATCATATTTACACTGAGCGTGCTAAAAAAATGATAATTAAAAAATTGTTAAATATTACAAATATAAATATAAGAGTGCAAATTATTCGCTTTTATTTGGGAAAACTGTAGCTCTGATGAACTCCTAATTTTAAACCTAAATGGCATTTTATAATTTACTTAAATTTTTATGTGTAATTCAACTCTTTTTTTGCAATATTGATATGTTAATCAGTGGTTAGTGTTAATTGGCTGGCCGATTTTTAAAAAGGTCAACTCAATATTTTAACCTGAAAAATATTTCATTAGCCTCGAGATTTCCCTAATAGATGTATAAACCTTTGTGCCATCTATGAGCAAAATCTTAAGGCTTGCATAGTACTTTTGTGAATAGAATATTGAGTTAGCCATTTTTAAAAATCGGCTCAAATCTAGCCATTACCACCTCTAAGCCTTGCCCAGCTCAGTTTTTTGGTCCGGTAAAATGCTTTATTTTTGTATATATTACTCTTATTTTAAAATTCGAAATAATAGTAAAATGTCATATTAATAAATCACACATAATGTTATATTACGTAAAAATTTGAATTTATAAATGTGAATGAAATTTCTAGCCCTTATTTTTTAAAATAAATACATAATAAAAATTTGACTGTAAAATATGGCATAAATTTAAAATTTGACAGCGAATCTGAATGAAATTTCTTAGAAACAATCGATATTTTATGAAATTTTATTTTAAGTTTTACAATATGGGCTTTAATTAGTTATCTGGAAATTTAATGTTTTTTTACAGGACTGCAATTAACGAGAAGCGCAGCACTAGGCGGGACATTTGTTAGGTCTAGACTACTATATTTTGGGAGGCTTTAATAATTTAAAATATCACTTCCCTAAACATTGTTAATTTTTTAAGTCTGATGAAAATTTTATGCAAATAATATACAAAAAAAATTTTTACAATATTTTTGTACAAGGTATTTCCGTTATTTTCGAACAGAAATTCACATTATAAGAGCCCAAAATTATATTAAAAACTTTTTTTAAAAATATTTTATCCCATGTCAATTCTAACAATAGATAAATAAAATGTCAATACCACTTTTTCACCGTTCATTCTAGTGGTGTTAAACAGCTCGATTTGTGCCGACTTTTAATGACAAACTTAATATTTTCTCTAGCAATATATTACGCAGGCCTGAAGATTTTGCTCATAGATGGCACAAAGATTCGGATATCTATTGGCGAAATCTCGAGGCTTAGACTTTATTTTCTGGATGAAATATTGAGTTCGCCGTTTTTAAAAACCGGCAAATTCTAAAGGTTGGCCTTTAAAATATTTTATTTTAAAAAACAATCATTAAATAATACTCGATGCTTAAAAAGAATTTTATTATAGGTATAAATAATTATTTAAAATTAAAACCGCATGTATGTCATACTCGTAACATAACCTTTAACTTAATGCATATTTTAATGAATATATTATTGTATTAGAAATGCACCAATATTCACACTCGCAGACGATATAGGTTGGGTCTTAACAGATATTTTTGATTTTAATCGTTACTTTTAATTTTTATCAATATCAATGAACTGAATAATACCCAAAATAATTATTAATCCTTATTAAAAAAAATTTAGCCTATTAAAACTTTGAATTTATAAGCAAAAAAATCGATCTACATATTTCTAAACATAAGAAGCGCAGTAAAATATAAGCTCCATCATATTATTTAACGAATGCCTAATATTTTACTTTTTAAACAATCATAATAACCGATATTGAAAATAAAGGAAACGTTTGCTAATTTTTTTTCCTATTTCTTCTTACCTTTAAAATATCTTTATTGCGGAATTAACTTTATCAAGAAGAAGGAAGACTTTACAAGTTTCATATAAAATCAAAAGAATAAAATATTTTAATAAAAAAAGAAAGACTGGGAAAAATCTTTGTAATATGATCCCTAAGTTTTTATTTGGTTTATTTATCATTATCGGTAAAAAAAATTAGTGATATCCGTACATCTCTTCTAATTATTTATGTTTTTTTAAAAAATGATTTTTTGAATAGAAGATTATACACAAAATAGTAATAAAACAAAAGAAGATTGATCATGTCTCCTTGAATTCGGGACTATATTTGATGGTTATTTATAAGAGGAAAATAATTGGAAAAACTTAATTTTTTATTTATTAATCTCTGATTGTTGCTAGTGACGACGTGCGGCGAGGACAATTTGTTGCTGAAAGGTTTTTGGGGTCGTTAGATAGGGAAGGGATTGGTAGGAGGCGCTAAAATTTGTATCATGAGTATTTTATATAACCACTAAAAATCTTAATGCTATAATTAGAGCTTGGAAACAAAAAATCAAAGAATCGGAACACTCATAAAATTTCTAGGAAATGGGAATATATTGTAAAATAATCTACTTTTTTTTAATAACAAGAAAAAATCAGGATAGGGTTTTAAGATTATATTCTGGATGGGTGGTGAGGTATACAAAACATAAATACATGCAAACTTTTCCTTTTGATAAATCTACACAAAATATGCTCGTTTTAAAAATAGGCTTTGTTTGGAAGAAGGATACAGAAATAGAGGGAATTTCTTTTGAAAATCAATGGAGTAGCCCTGTTTATTTTACAATTTCATTAACAATTCATTTTTTGTTATTTGCCATCACTTAAAAATTAAAATATTCCATTCTACGTTATGACGAAAAAAAATTGTGATGCAATTATATAAATTAAAATGTTGAATTGAAACAAAACTCATTTTAGAACTGTAGTATTTCTCTCCCTTATTAACACTTTTTAATAAAAAAAAACGACCAACTCTTTAAACGCAATTTTCTTATTTCAAACTATTTTGTTTCAACTCCTTTAAATTTAATTAATTTCCACACTTAACTTTTGATAATAATTTTCTTATTTTAAAAAAAAAACTTACGTCAACTCCTCTTTTTTTTTACAACTCCTTTTTTTTTTATCTTTTATTAATTTTATTTTTTTTTAAAAAATTTAATCAAAAAATATATAATGAATCTAAAACAAAAATTTTCTTTTTTCTCAACAACAATAATAATAATAATAATTTCAATATTATAATTTTTTTTAAAATAAAATCAATAAAATATAATTAATTTGCGATAATTATAATACGCAATCAATAAAATGTAAAATGTGATTTAAGATAATTATAATGCGCAATCAATAAAATGTAAAATGTAATTTAAGATAATTATAATACGCCGCCGCCAACAGAAGACCATCTCTTCATTCCCCCCTCAGGAAGGCGTCCAATTCTAAATCTGTCATCTCTAAATCCACTATATCGGGTGCTTCCACCAGTCCATTGCTTGTAGTCTCAACTGCTTCCGCTACCGTAGGCGCCACCCTTGACACAGGTACCTCCTGTATTACTGGTCCCGTCTGGATATCCCGGGTTGGCTGTCTTTCTAGTTGTCGCCTCGGTCTCCGCGGACACCGATCTTGTAGGTGGTCTCGGGATTGGCAGAGATAACAAGTCCTTGGAGGATTCCGTCCTCTTCGTATCGGGCTGGATTGAACCACCGGCGTAGGGAATTCGGATAATCGCTCCTCAGTATTTTGCGTAAACACGCTTATTCTGATGATCATCCCGGGTAAATATATAAACTTATGTACTAGCATTTTTAAATTTTAAAAATTCTTCTTTAAAAAAAAATGTTAATTTTCAAAAAAAATATTTTAATTATAAAAAAAATTAATTTTCAAAAATACTTTAATTATATAAAAAAAAATTATGATATAAACGCCAATTTCTTTTATTCAAAACATCGTGACACCCCATAATTATTTTGCCAACACTTGCCACGCTCGTAAATTTTAACATCTTATTACAATAATAGCAAAAAAGGGGAGGAAAGGTCTCCAGCGGAGAAATTTTTGGGGTGTCGGACTCGTATGCTATTGGATTTATTGAAGCCCACGCCAGATGAGTTGCAAATGACAACGGTCAATGATGAGCAAGTGGTGAATAAGACCTGCGGATTTGTGATAGGTCAAAATGTGTGGATCAGAAATTATGGAGGTTCAAGGAAATGGGAGTTGGGAATAATAATGGAGAAATTGGGGAGCAGATTATATAAAGTCAAGTTTGGGGATGGAAGAGATGGTATAAGACATTCCGATCAAATACGGAGGGGAGTTGAACCGGGGCGGTTGATATTGGGAGGTGAAGTGTTGAGAGAGAAGCGAAATATCAGGAATAAAGAGTTGTAATATATAAAAGAGGGGGTGAAACAAGAGTTCTATCTTTGTGAATTTGTAATATCTAAGGACAAAGAGTTGCAAGCCTGACTAAAAGGTGGTAATATATTTAAAAAAAAAGGGGAGGTAAAACAAGAGTTATCTCTTGGGAAATTGTTAATGTCCAAGGACAAAGAGTTAGATAATCTTATTCGATATAGACATATATATCTTAATGCGTAGGGTTTTCTCATTTAGGGAAAAATATCAGGACTAAAGAGTTGTAATATGTAAAAAGAGGGGGTGAAACAAGAGTTCTATCTTTGTGAATTTGTAATATCTAAGGACAAGGAGTTGCAAGCCTGACTAAAAGGTGGTAATATATAAAAAAAGGGGAGGTAAAACAAGAGTTATCTCTTGGGAAATTGTTAATGTCCAAGGACAAAGAGTTAGATAATCTTATTCGATATAGATATATATATCTTAATGCGTAGGGTTTTCTTCTTAAGGGATGTGTAATTAAGGGAGTTGACCAAAATATATCGCG